TTCCAAAAGTTCATGCATATGTTTTGTTAATGGTTGACCAACTGCTTTCGCCAACATTCCTATACATTGAAATAATGGTGCCTCATTACCACCTCGATTTCGACTGATAATTAATTTGAATGTGTGCAATAATAATAATAACAATAATAAAATAAACTAAGTTTGTTTATTAAATGCTAATAAAATTAGACTTGAAAATATATTTAAATTTTTTTTTTTTTTTAATTACGTTTTTGGAGAAAGCCCTTCTTTTATATTGCTTAAAATTGAATCCAAATAAGGTCCTATATCAATTCCAACAGCATAAGCCACCTGACCGATTGCAATAAATGCTATTTGAATAATAATGATGATAATGATGTGATGATAATATCGACGTTGATGAGAATAACGAACAACATGATCAAAACTTAAGAATTATAATATATATAAAAATACCAACACATTGAACGATCTCGTTCCTTCTTAAGTTGACTTAATAAATATAACATAGATTTGTGTATATAAGTTGATACAAATTCTCTCTCATCAAATTCAGCAAGCACAGGGATTAAAGAAATCACTGTTCTTCTAATAAGACTATCACGATAATCTTTAAATTTTAAAATAGTCTCACATACATTCTTATAATGAGCACGCATGAACTAAATGTTTTGTAAAAAAATTTTTAGTCGAAATAAAGAAGAGAGTGCACGTCTTTTAAGTTTATTGGCATCAGCATCCCAAAAATTAATCAGACCTTATGTTGAAACAATACTAAAAGTTCTTTTATCTAAATCACGAGATTCTAATCCAGCAGTGGCTGCGAGTGTTTTAGGAGCACTTGGAGAATTGGCACGTGTAGGGGGGGAAGATCTTTTGCCATACCTTAATAGTCTAATGCCTTTAATAATTGATGCGTTGCAAGATCAAGGTTCAACGGCAAAACGTGATGCAGCATTAAAAGCTCTAGGACAACTTTCTAGCAATACAGGATTTGTTATTGAACCATATTTGAAATATCCTAAACTATTATCTATTTTAATTAATATTTTAAAAACTGAGTTGACACCATCAATTAGACGTGAAACTATTAGATTAATAGGAATTCTTGGTGCTTTAGATACATATAAACACAAAGTAATAATATTCTTTGTTATATTTTTTTTTTTAGTTTAATTAAAAAAATGGAATTTATTAATCTAATTTAAATATTTAGATTACGATAAGTTCTTCTGAGGAATCTTTGTCTGATCCAAAATCTACAAATACTGACGTTACATTGCTACTGATGGGGGTGGGACCGTCATCAGAAGATTATTATCCAACTGTTGTAATAAATGCCTTGATGAAAATTCTCCGTGATCCCTCTTTAAATATTCATCATACTGCAGTGATTCAAGCAGTAATGTATATTTTTAAGACTCTAAGTTTGAAATGTGTACCTTTTTTATCACAGGTAAGTTGTAATCCATAACATTACTAATAACTATTATAATAGTATTCTTTAAAAGAAAATGTTTTTATTCAATCATTTGAAAAATATATAGATAACTCCAGCTTTCCTTGGAGTAATGAAAACATGTCCTTCTGCAATGTTAGAGTTTTATTTTCAACAATTAGGCATACTTGTTTCAATTGTACAACAACATATTCGCAATTATCTTCAAGACATTTTTGCATTGATTGAATTATTTTGGCAACCAAGTTCTCCAATTCAAATAACAATAATTCATTTGGTTGAAGAGATTGCTAAGGCTCTAGACGGAGAGTTTAAAAATTATCTGCCAAATCTTTTACCAATAATGCTTCAAATTTTTGATCAGGACGATAGTGATAAACGTCAACCCACTCAAAAAGTTTTGCATGCACTAGTAGTGTTTGGAACCAACATTGAAGAATATATGCATCTCGTTATCCCAGTAGTAGTCAGACTTTTTGAAAGGCCTGATGCACCTTTACAGCTTCGTAAATCGGCTATTAGTACCATTGGTGAACTATCAAAAAAAGTGAATTTTTCAGGCCTTGCATCCAGAATAATTCATCCACTTGCTCGGGTATTAGCCATATTTAATTATGAACTTAAAATGGCTGCTATGGACACACTTTGTGCTCTAGTATATCAACTTGGATCAGATTATGTCGTATTTATTCCTATGATAAACAAAGTTTTACACAAATATAAAATCCAGCATCAAAATTATGAAAAATTAATTTCTAAACTTTTGAAGGGTGAAAAGTTATCTCAAGATTTAGATACTGAGGAAAAATTCAATGAGGCACATTTGGAGGAGTTACCTGCTGTTGAAACTAATGCAAAAAAATTGCCTGTGAATCAGCAACATTTGAAAAATGCATGGGAATGTTCACAATGTTCCACAAAAGAAGATTGGGGTGAATGGAATAGACGCTTAAGTGTTGAACTTCTTAAAGAGTCACCATCGCATGCACTTCGGGCTTGCGCAAGTCTTGCTGGTACTTATCAACCTTTAGCAAGAGAACTTTTCAATGCTGGTTTTATATCTTGTTGGTCAGAATTATATTATCAATACAAGGTAATAACTATTCTTTAAATAATTAAAAAATTAATATTATGTAATATTTAAATTATTATTATAATGTAA